TGTAACAGAAGTGAATATAGAAATATCCATTAATGGGAAAATGTTTTAGACAAAATGTGGCCCAGTATTACAAACAAACATATGGGCAGAGTGAACTCCAGCCTTCAGGGATTGATACTAAAATATGTTTAAAGTTAAACAAATCTGCAGAAACTACTCGCCCGTTAGTGGTAGTTAGGAACTAGGGCAATATCCCAGCATTGAAAGGATGTTATATTAATTTCATCATGAATGTGTGTTCATGAGAGCAGGACAAAAGCAAGAAAATACTCCATCGCCAGGTGACTCACACCAGACCTCGGAGTGGCTTCCGGTCTGCACTTGGAGGGAGACTCAAGACCACCAACTTCCCCAGATCTCAGAGACCAGCACTGCTCAGGACAACCTCACTGCTCGAAGGACAGCACCGCTGAGCAGAAGGCAGCTGACAGCAGCCCTCATGAGGGCTTCCCATCCGGGCTAGGGCTCTGGGATTCTCGTGCAGCCCAGACCAGGAAGCTTACCTCTTTAATTAAGGATGCCACGTGAAGAGCCGTGAGCGGAGTTTGCTCTGCGGGTTTGACGATCACGGTGTTGCCACAGCTGAGGGCGGGTCCTATCTTCCACAACAGCATGAGCAACGGGAAGTTCCACTGGAAGGCAATATTCCACAGTGCATCTTTGCTTTGCTCAGAGGCACATATATTAATGTAACTTTGATATCGTGCAGCTCCTTCCTTCCCTCTAGTTGTTAACTAAACGCTGCTGCAGTTTTGACAGGTGTCCAGTGTATTCTCTTTCAGGTCATAGCAAGAAGCAAACACACTCAGAGGAGAGCAGATATAAGAAGGGACAAGGAGAGGGCTCCTGAATGTAATCAACTGCTGTTACTTTAAATTCTTCTTCTAAGGAGAACAAATCTCTGTCTGGTTTTGGATACCAGCAAGCACTGTAATGACTATTTTTTCCTGTTAGAATAAAAATTCCAAATAACAGTACTTGATTTTAAAAATGGTTTATTCTTTTTTCCAGCTAGGTCATTTATTTTATTTGTTCACCACTTTCAATTATTTGTGGTATAAATACCCTTTATGTGCTGCTGGGGTTCCAGCCCAGGGCCACATACAGGTTGTCTGTGGTCCCCCACTGAGCTACCCCTCCACCCAAGACCAACAGTGTTCTTGAAGAGAAAGATGAGAGGATGCAGAGGAGGAGAGCTCAGGCTCAGATCCAGGGCCAGCACCGAGGAGCCATGTGAACCCTGATGGGTTCCTTATTCTCCATAAATGCTAATAAAATCCTCTTTTGCAGAAGGTTGTCCTATGATGTATTGTTTGTATTTAGTCTTTGTGACTTTAAATAAGTTTGTTGGATTTTTGAATGAATGAG